CCAGAAGAAATGAGACAATGATAAAAACTACTAAATATAAAAACTATTAATATATCTTGGTGTATCTATGTGTTGACTTTATAAGCCTATTCATTTGGGTCCTTTATAAGGTAAAACTAAATTCTAGACAATATTCACAGGAAAGGTAGCAATTTTGCATGGATGGCATGGTGTGCTGTTTGGAAAGAAAACAGAGATGCTGAATAATTTTATCTCCTCTTATAAATATATGTGTTAAGAAAGAATTTAAAAAATAGGTATAGCCTGTATAGAAATATGATTTATAACTTTCAAGTCAGCAGAGAATAGGAACAAAAATAGAAGTTATAATTCGGTTAAAGTAATTGACTAAAAATAATCATTTCAAACCAGTGTATGTTTTAACCTATTTTTAAAATTCTGACAAAAATAATATAATTATTTAACTTTACTCTGTTTTGCTTGGAAATAATACCTTCCATTTTTAGATTCCCCCTCCAAGCCTCTTGGTTTCATGTTCTTCTCAAGCTGAGTGAAAGTCCAGAATTGCTTCATGAAAAAGCAGCTTTATTTGGAATTGAAAGTTATATTGTAAGAGTTCATATTTAGTTTGTGAAAACCTTCAGAAAGTGAAAATACTATTTGAACCAATAAGTCTGCCCTTTTTGACTGATCCCAGTTTCACCTTTCAGCTTTTCATCATATCCTCAAACCCCTTATTTAACACCATCAAATTGTGGTGTCTCAAAATTTCTTAATGCTCTCTGCTTCCATAATTGTCTCTGATAAATGATTAGACAGAAGATCATAAACACAAAGCATAAAGGCTCCTGAACTGAAACAGAAGACAAAACCATGAAAGCTTAACAACACTCTTCAGGAGATCAAATCAATAGCTATGTCACTAAAGGCCCTGAATACCTCATTCATCTCTCTGAACAATACTTCAGTGGCCCACGAATTGCCACCACCCTTTCCTCCTGAATTTTAAAGTAGCACTAGAAGAAAACATAAATAAATAAAAACTTGTCTAGAAAGAGGAACATTTAAAAAAATTCTCAATGTTTCAGGACTTTAATTTCCATAACCAAATGTTATTTTGTTAAATTATATCATGATACTTTAAGGCTTAAGGAATGTGTCCTTAATATATATATCTCTAGATAGATAGACAGATAGATAGAGCTCAAGTCTAAAATCCCAAACCCTAACTAATATCTCTAAGTACAAATGCCACTGCCTTAATGAGATTTATTCTAAATTATGATCCAAGAGGGCTTTATTAGGGATTCATATGTCACTTCAATAATCACAAATGAACAAAATTTCATTCAATATTGCATGTTAATTATTTCCAATTATTTCTCCCATAGTGTTAAAATATGTTTAGATATATGAAGCAAAAGACTATTTGAGGTAAATTAATGCTTTATGAATCAGTGTTATTTTTTAATTCAAACCCTTAGTGAAATAAATTAAGACAATTAAAAATTAAGTCTGTAACATCAATATGCCTAAGTATGATAGTTTTAATTATAAACCTATGAAATAAAATAAAAATAGTTATGAAAAACAAGTTGAGATTTGAGCCAAGAATAAAATACTGCTTATTATGTATAACAGAATAATCTAAATTACTGTGCTTGGTTTTAAATTTTACCATATCTGCTTAATATGATGTTTATGTCTAATTAAACCTGATTTATAGCAAAGATAAGAGTGCCTCCCTCTTTTGTGCTTCTAAAATTTGGATCTGATATTTTAAACAATAATAAAATTAAAAAAAAAAATTGGATCTGGATATTTCTTAATAACATTACAGAGAAAGGAATCACATGCTCAAACATTCAGTAATACAATATTTTGGGTAAAATATAATAAATTATTTAGATACAAATAAATACTCATCATTAATTTGATATTGATAGTTTGGGTAAATATAGATTTATTATTCTATTTTAAAACAGCTTATTGTGTTTGGGTTACATAGCAGACCAAGATTATCAAATCCATTCAAATAAATTATGAAAATCCCTAAAACCTCATTGTAATTTTATTCTGTTTATCATTTCTAACAGCAAATTTACAGATAAATCTATCTATTTTTCCATCATTCTTAGTAGCCTGCATTTCAGAGTGGATGTGTAGATACTGTTCTGCTAGTGCCCATATCAGGCTCCAGAAAATGAATGTAGGACAAAGGGCCTAATTAATGACCAGAACTTAGGGTTCCTCTACACTCTTTGGCAGACAGGAAAGCATCAAGGTAAGGGCATGGATGCCTGCAAAGAGGAAATTAAGGGAAAGAGAAAGAAAGGAGGAAGTGAGGAAGGGGAGAAGGAAGGGACGTGTGGAAGGCAAGCAATGAAGGAACACGCACAAAGGCCAGGTTGAGAAAAATCTAGGCTTAGTATTAGTTACTAAGTGGCCCCAGGGAATAACAGTCTGTCCTCAGTAACTTAGCATTCAGATTCATAAAATGAGAGGTAAAAATATCTTCTAAGGCTCTCTAGATCTAAAACACTATACCCCTCCCTGAAGAAAACATTCTTATTTCAAGGAATGAGAAGAAACTGAGCATGCCATAGGTATATCAATATTGTCTTATCTTTACTCAGTAGAGCCTAGTCATCAGAGCCTTATGATCATTCACACCAATAAATTTCTTACCTTTCATTACAGACAAGATTTTAAAATACAATTCTTTGATCTGACCGCCCTGGTGAAACAGACACTAAATCAAATTAGTATAGATTATAGTACACGGGAAAGAGGGATTACCTTCGTGAGGACCCACACACATGACATTTGTGCTAGACTTTGAAGGATGAATAAAATTCCATTACAGAGAAAGGAAAAAGAAAGAGACACTATGCAGCCAGAAAAATATTGAAAAAGCAGGAGAGAAGGCCGTGGGTATTTGTGCGTGAAGTAGAAACATTAACCTTGAGAGACTAGAGAGTGAACTGTGGTATACTATCAGACTGGTAGCTCACTATGAACATTCTACCAGGTATTCACCCCTTGTGTAGTCCCATCACTGCACTGTAAAAAGGCTTGGACTAGATTTAAAAATCTAGAGAGGCCATCTAGAGAAAGACCATAGAGGATGAGAGGTCATCTTGAACATGCCTACTCCAGTCAAGCTCCCAGCTGGAAACAGCTGCATGAGTGACCTCTGTTTAACTGACATTAAGCAGAACCGCCCTGCTGAGTCTTGAGAAGTCATCGATCACTGTGGTGTTATACTAATCAGTGTTGGGCTGTTTTGCGTTAATAGCAATAGATAACTGAAACATACACTTTATATTTATCTCTACCAAATACCAAGGTGATTAACAGATAGCAGATAGTCATAGATATTAATAACTTAAATTAATTGTTCTAACAGAGCAAACTAAAAGAAAAGAAAATCATACATATAGTGCCACTATACATACACACACACACACACACACACACACATATATATATGGTGTCACACTACTACTTAAGGTATGGTTTATTCCTATAAATTCCAATTAATCTGCCATTTACANGTGCCACTATACATACACACACACACACACACACACACACACATATATATATGGTGTCACACTACTACTTAAGGTATGGTTTATTCCTATAAATTCCAATTAATCTGCCATTTACATTATATGTAATTCAGAGATTTGGTTGGGAGATAACTTGTTGATAGATGTCAATAGAGTCAATGATAAAAAGTGTTATCAAAAGATACAAGAGTGCAATATGAAACAAAACATCAAGAACACACACTGTACCCACTCATGTTTCTGCACTCAAATAAATTATAATCCAGGTAACAAGCCATAAAAACTGATGAGTCTAGCAGAAGCTCTAGATAAGCTGATAATAATTATCATTTGTTCAAAATTGACTTTGCCAAACAGTAGAAGGAATTTTAATATATATATGTGTATATATATGAATATAATTTCACAGAACAAACATATTATGTAAAAATGATCTAGCCACCAGTGGTTGTCAGTACCTGTAATTCTGTAGTCAACACCATGAAAAAATACAAATGTTTAATAATAGCTAATCATATAAATCATTAAATTATAAAACTATTCTCTAAGTATTTTAAAAACTATTTTTACCAATTAATGCCTAGCTTCTCCTACTTTAAAACATGGTAAAACTACATGGATCGTATAGCTAGTATGTTTATTCCAAGCTCTTACAAGTCTTCTTAATCTCAGTGAATAATTACTCATATATATGAATTTTTCTTTAGAATATTTTTCAATGTGAAATATTTTATAGAGTCCCCCCAAAGGATCATTTGTGAATTATTTTTGTTCCATTCTAAGTCTTTGTTATGAGTGAATAAAAATTTTGAATTCAATCTATATTGATAAGCTTCAATGAAATATATTTAAATTTTTAAATAATGGAGGAAAGTAGCTCATGCATCTTAAAAATATACTGCAGATTTTTATGCAAATATCAATTTTTTCAAATGACCAACATAATCATCATTGGGGGCTCTAGTGAACTTTTCAAAACCCAAGTGTTTTATAAATATATAAAATCTTTAAATATTCACACATATTACTCCTTATGTATATAAAAGTGTGTTTTCTTTATTTAGTCTCAATGTTTTAATGAGTATGAATACAGAATCAACGAAAGACGTCAACAAATTCAATACAGTGCTATGGAAAACAAACCTATAAATAATTTACGACCGAGAGGGAAGTATCTCTACTTCGCTACTATTTACCAAGCAATAGTTGTATTTCTATATTTGTGTTTTGATTATGAGTCCTAAATCCAAACACAATTCATATAGATTATCTTTAGCAGGGATATGTAAAATTTTTAAATGTATATATTATATTAATCCCTCATAAAATAATTCACATGAAGAAAAAAATCGTTTCATCTTGAAAACTATAGGTATTATATTATCATAGCAATGTGAAAGGTACAGTACTTAACTTTAAAAACTCTCATTTAAATGTATAATAAATTACTTGAATATTTCTTACCATGGCAAGAACCCTCGATTTCTTCATATCCTGTACTGCAGATGCACCTTCCAAGAGGAACCAGCCAATCTCCATCAGCTCCACAATATAGTTTGGGAGTGTCACGCTCTTCTGCACTCTTCACACAAGCACCCCTTACTTCAACCAGAGAGGAAGAGTCAACCCTTGGGATGGTGTCAGGAAACATGGCCAGATTACGAACAGTGAAGGGGCACTTTTTGTAGAAAACACGGACGGAGACCAGGGCAATGCAAGCCCCAATGTCTTGAAAAGCCAGATAAAATCCCTTCCTTTCTATAGGCCCCACCTCACGGATTTCAGTGTTGAGTTTGAGGATACGGTCACCCAAATCCATCTGGGTAAAACTTTCATCAGCAGCAATTGTATCGATCTTTGTATACTGGCTTGGCTTGAATTTAATTCCATGGGACTCATCTGATTCCACATAATACAGATTAAATGTTTCTTTGCAAGTCCCCAAGACCCATGGGATGCTGTTACAATCCCTCAGTGTGAACTTCATTTCCACATAAATCTTCTGAGCTGCATCTCGGGAGATCCAGTTGGTACGAAGCCAATTGTTTTGGTTTGGTTCCATTACATTGCATACCTGGTACGTGTGAATGGGCCTGTTATGTTCATCCATTTCAGTAATGGCATCCCACTGCAAAAAATAACAATAATAATGAAATGTTTGTAAAACTACAGAGGTTAAACAGAAATTACTGCTTCTCAAATTTTCTAATTTTGCAAAAGAAAATAAATAAATAAAAAGGATACAAATAAAACTAGTCAAAGCAACTATGCAGCAGAATTTTACCCATGGCCCTTTGGTAAGGAGTGTGGGTTTTGGACATACCAGCCGTCCTGGTAAATCTTAACTTCCTATATATTAGTTGCATGACCAAGGGCTACTAAATTTAAACTCTGGTTTTCTTAAATGCAAAATGTACCCGGTTGCATAGGGTTTTGTAAAGCATAGATTAGTTAATATATGCAAAGCACTTTAAATCATTCCTAGTACACTATAGGAATGTAAAATGTCATATCTGATCAAATAACTAGACCAATAACAAATGCATTCTGGTTACCCATCTGTCCTCATATTCATTTGCCACAAATTGAGGTATATTTACCATTATTCAATTAAATATTTACATGTTTATTTGGATAGAAAATAGACATAGATAAGCCTTAGATTTACTCAAGAAATATTTATCAGGCACTGTTCTGGACACTGGAAACACAGCAATGAACTAGCTAAATGAAAGCTCCCTTCCTTTATGGATCTTACTTAGAGTGAGGAGAGACAATAGAAATAAAAATAGTAAATTAATAATTTGCATAATATTGTAGAAAGTACAATGAGAAAAAATAAGGCAGGGAGGTGGAGACGAAGGTTGCAGTTTTAAACAGGGTGTCCAGAAAAGGCCTTATTTGGGTAGTGACATTTGACCAATGTCTTGGACATGAGATAGTGAGCTTTCAGGAGAGAAAACAGTACAAATACCCTGAGGCAGGAATGTACAGGCATATTTTAGGAATAGCATGAGTGGGCACTGGAAGCACAATAGGTAATAAGAACAGAGAAGCAAAGAAAGAACAACAAAAAAATAGCCTTTATAAACTTTTAAGCACTTTGGCTTTTACTCTGAGCTGGATCACTGGGATATTTTACTTCTGTGGGTTAACATAAAAGCATTCTGCTACTGATTAAAAGAGAAAATGTTATTTATCCTTTTAAAATTTTAATAAAAATCTTTGAGTGCTTTCAAGTTATTATTGTCAATATTTATACATAGAATATTGCCTAATTCTATCATATAAATTTATATTGTAATTGTATTTTATTCATATATAGTTGTAATTTTCAATAAAAAAATCATTCTGGTAACTTTATAGCCAGCTTGGGGAAACAGGCTAATCATCATAGTTTCTCATTTCTATTAAAGTTTAGTGGAAATGATAAACTATATTTTATAGTGAATAAGTGTTCAATTTCTTGATATTATACTTTAGTGATTTATAATAAAATTATTTAATGCATTCTACTTGTAGTTTCTCATTTTAATTGGCTATACAGAGTCATTTAATCATGGCTAGTTGAGTTTTAATTAGTATAGTCCCTAATAGAGTGGCTACTTTCTTCAATCTACAAAACCATTATGACACTAAGTACTTTCAATTATTTACCATAAATTTCCACAAATAAACCATTTACATTATCCACCAAGCAAACTTAAAAATGATCTGTATATAGAATTTTCATTTGCAAGTTACTTGCTTGAAATTCAGAGTATTTTCCAGAAGTAACAGTGAGTTTCTGTGAAAAGAATTCTGAATACATGTCCATTGTTTGTCAGGGTGATCCAATAAACTCATAGAGATTCACATAAAATTGCCCATCTAAATACTTTTCATCCTAGAGTATCATGGGCCTTAGTGAGCGTTCAAAGGATAGCAATGCTCATGAACTGGGATTGTTTTGGAGGTCTGGCCAAAGGGGAGGGGCTTGAACCTTAAAGGGTGATAAGATTCAATAAGCCCAGGGAGAAGAGTAAACAGGATTAATGTGTAACACTAACCTATATACATACACTTTGGGGCCCTTTTAGCCCTGTACAACATACATATATTCAGCGAGTTAAAGTTTTTGTCCCTATTTAAAACAAACAACTACATAATTTATTCTCAGCTGGGAAATATTTCTATGTACATAAACCTGGTAATTGTAGAAATCACACGATGGAAATATGTATCAAACCAGTCATTAATTCTGCTATTAAGTCGGTCAACTCAGTCAGCTGCATGCTGTTACATAATAGGCCCTAAACCCCAAATTCTCTACTCCTCAGGCTTATTTACACACACACACACACACACACACACACACACACACACACACTCTCTCTCTTTATGTAGGTATTAAANTCAGCGAGTTAAAGTTTTTGTCCCTATTTAAAACAAACAACTACATAATTTATTCTCAGCTGGGAAATATTTCTATGTACATAAACCTGGTAATTGTAGAAATCACACGATGGAAATATGTATCAAACCAGTCATTAATTCTGCTATTAAGTCGGTCAACTCAGTCAGCTGCATGCTGTTACATAATAGGCCCTAAACCCCAAATTCTCTACTCCTCAGGCTTATTTACACACACACACACACACACACACACACACACACACACTCTCTTTATGTAGGTATTAAAATAGTATACCAACATATAAAAAATTTACCAGTATACCTAATGTAGAAAAGAACACAGTAAATAAAAAATAAATCATACATGCCCTGCAGAAAAGAATTCCTTGCAAACTATATCTGTTCTTACGGCCAGGATGAGTAGAATAGAAAGCTTTCTCTATCTCATGGTCATTTTATAAGCCCTTTCTTTGAATCAAGGAGTAGATAGATGAATTACAAACTGAAGGATGGAAAAGTTTTCCTGCTTAATGAGACGTCTTGGTTAAGTAAACATTAGGTATACAGCAAAGGGTTCTTTCTTTAAGAAACTTCAAGGGCACCTTAGATGTGATGATTCCTGAGGCCAACTATTTACATACTGAATTTATACTTGTCAAAGCTTTTTAACAAATGTTAACTCCTCTGATCCTCATCAGCCCAACTAAAGACAGATAATTTCTGTTTCACATTCCTGATTAAAAAAACACCCTAATACCTAGGAATTAAAGTAATTGCCTGGTAAGGTATGGACCAGGCCTTCTAACTTTATTTTCTGTGTTTTGTATGTTTTGCTGGCCTGGGACAGACTGCACCTTCCAGGACTAGCCAGTTCATAGAGACAGCACAGGGCTCTGGGCCTGGAGAATACCTTTCATATGCAAACCAACCAATCCTGAGTCTATAGCCCCAACCACAATCTTCTCTTAACTCTCATACATCAAGCCAGTATTTCCCCTGTCCTAAATCATTACAGGGCCGAGTCAGGCAACTAGAGATGACCCCAAGAACCATATCCAGCATTTACATTCTTAGAACAAATACCCCCATATGGGTCATGAGACGTTCTTCCTGGCAATCGTTTGGAAAACAACTGATTCTTGTTTAACCAAAAGCTTTCATTAAGCAACACACCCCAAGTGACAAAGCTTTTCTATTCATCACATGTAATTTATGGATACACTCCTTGAAAAGGACTCAGAAAATAACCATAGGACAGAAGAAGCTCTCTATCCTACTCATTCAAGCCTTAAGAACACATACGGTCTGCAAAATTTTCTAGTCTGCAGCAGCATTAAGTAAGGACACCATTAGGCTGAGGTGGCTCTAAGGCCTGGGGAGCCTGTGTAAGCAAACTGAAACCTGCTCTATAGCAAATTCCTGTAAATGTCTCAAGGTTAAGAAATCAAAACCTAAGGACAACTGGTCACAATAGCCAACTAGACTGTCTCAAATTAAGCAACTGCTTAAGCAATAGCCAATGAAATAATTTTGTTGCTGCTCTATAAACCCCTTCCTCAGCGCCTGTCTGCACAGTGACCCTATTGCTTTCGGTTTGATGCTGCTTGATTGGAATTGATGTTGGTTCAATAAGCTCCTAAAATTTTTAATATGCCACAGTTTCTTTTTTAATACATATATAATTTGAGTTTTGCTTTACTGGGTTATTTTCTACATTATGTAACAGTGAATTGTTTTATACATGCTAGTATTTAAGTCTTATATGAAAATATAAAAAAGTCAAATAAACAACATGAAATAGAAGAGTTGGAATATTTCAGGTTCAGTTCCTATTACGTAAAAGCAAGTAGCTGACAGAATTGACCAACTATTTTAACAGTAGAATTAGTGACAGATTTGCTTATTTCATCAATTACAAGGTTTACATAAATCTAAATATTTCATGTTTATGTGTGTTCTTGTCTTAAAGAAGGGCAGGAACTTTTACCGGCTGTAAAACACTTGGCACAGGACTGAAGTTGCCAAAGTGTGTGCTTACAGCTTAATGCTTTACAGCACCCAGGAACATTTCTCCGCTAATGGATCTCTTGGGCAGTCCCATTTAATGTAAATGTTTGTTAGAAGTGATAGGAAATATAAAGAGCTCTGAACAGTACTTAATCCATTTATGCCTAAGGGTTCTCTAAAAACCCATCCCCACCCACACACAGTGAGGGTTTTTTCCTCTCCATAGCATAAATTAGGGCAAACAGCTGAATTCCTTTGGGGCATAAAAAGTTAGAACAAGGCAGTTAAGTCCTAAAGCAACTGGCAGTCATTGTGGAATCAGATGGCTTTCTTTACTCAAAGAACAAAAAAAAGCAATAGTCTTTCTAGTCAAGAATATTCAGATAATATGCTGGTAAACTGACCCAAACATCCAAGTTTCTACCATATATTTTTCAAAGTTATACCTTCTTTGCTTTGAAAATCTTTAGAATTCAATGCAAATATAAACATTTATTTCAAAAACAAATTTAGAATTTTTAAAATAAAAGACAGGCTATTTCTCAATGTAGAAAGGGCTGATGGAAAGCTAATTGTAATTTCAAATGGTAGTGATAAATTTTGATAACTTATGCAAATTTGGGCCATACCTTAAAAAAAACCTGTAGCAAAAAAGAGAGCAATTACCTTCATACTACATACTCATCTCTAGAGAGGAAAGGGAGAATAAAAAATCACATCTTAGAT